GAAGACCCCTCAGAGGAAGTAGAGCCGCAGTCCCCAACCTTTTTGGCACCAGGGTCTGGTTTCATGGAAGACTGTTTTTCAGGGACCAGGTTAGGGGGAATGGTTGTGGGTTGATTCAGGTACATTACATTTACTGTGCACTTTATTTCTATAAATATTACATTGTAATATATAATGAAACAATTATACAACTCACCATAATGTAAAATCAGTGGGAACCGTAAGCTCGTTTTCCTGCAACTAGGTGGTCTCATCTGGGGGTGACAGTCACTGGGAGCCAGTGACAGATCATCAGGCATTTGATTCTCATAAGGAAAGCACCATCTAGATTCCTGGCATGTGCACTTCACAATAGGATTCGAGCTCCTGTGAGAATCTAATGCCCCTGCTGATCTGACAGGAGGTGGAATCCAGGCTGAAAAGCTCTCCCTCCGCTCACCTCCTGCTTGTGGGCCAGTTCCTAACAGGTCATGGACCCATAATGGTCCATAACCCCATGGCTGGGGATCACTGAAGAAGAGAAACTAGCTTGGGACACAGGAATCATGAAACAGGCCTCCAAATAATCGGGAAAAACTCCCAGCATAGGTGGATGGCCAGAGAAGAGATAAGGACATGTAGTTTGCAACATAATTTCAGAAAACAGAGATGCTGTATCTTAAAGAAGGGGGTCTGTTATACAAATATACTGTGGCCAAGAAGTTGCCATAAGCCCTCACCACACCCCTGTCTGGCCTGTTTTGACAGTCACAGTCTGCTCTTGTGAGAAGGAGCCAGGTGACAGAGGAGGCTCTTGGAACAGGAGAAGAGGAAGTTCTACCCAGTGGATGTCTGTGCAGAAAACCATCCAAGAGCCAAATTCAAAACAGGCTCAGTGTATACGGCCTGCCTGCGGAGGTGGTCTGTCTCAGCTGCACAAGTTGCAGAAACAAAACATACAGAGGCTCCCTGGGAGGACAGTGGAGCTTTGTGACCTCCAGACTGGAGTACTCACAGGCTATACCCAGAGGAGTGCAGGCGAGTTGATCCTCCAATGAGGACAAGGTGCTGCTATAAGGCTGGTGGCAGTCAGATAGGTCACGGTGAACTAAAGGAGTCAAGTAAACTTCATCCACGGAGTCCTCTGGCATTTCCTGCTCCTTCACCTCTGGCAGATCCTGGATCAACCTGGGGTAAAGATAACAGAAGATAAACAACAGAGAGAACCAACACCACTGTGCCATCTGGTTCTATAGGGAGGCCCTCAGGAAGGCCCAGAGGAAACAAAGTACAGTCCCCTCAGGGAGATACAACCATCCTTCCCTGTCTTGAGCAGGAAACGGAGTGTGACAGGCTCTCAGTGCACTGGGTAGGCAATGAGCTGGGGAGGAAAGAGATGGAGTGATCCCTGTGGGAAACTGCCAGGACACAGTGCATTGGGCACTTTTGCATACATTTTGTTGAAATTAGCATCGGGAGCCAAATTAATACAGGCTCTTGAGTCTTCCCAGACAGAGTTCCTGTATCCTCAACATCTCTTGCTCTCAACATTGTAGCATGACAGAGTTATTTTCATTCACTTTTCTGCTGTCAAATACTTGTAAACATGGTAATGCCAATGAGGCAGACATCAGATGTGCAGCTCAACTTCACTTAAGCAAAAAGGACAGAAAAGGGGACTGCAGAAAATGTCTCTGACTGATCAGTTCAACAGAGTTAACTGAATTCAGATTAGTAGAATTCGAAAAAATTAATAAAGAAGAAATACAAATACAGGTGTACAATGAAAAGAGTCAACCTTATCAATACGGCTATTTCATGGTTGGCTGAACAGATGGAACAGTTATATTCTGCACACTCTGATTTTCCCTGCATCTGAGACTCCTCATATCAACACTGAGTTAACTGTCCATGATTCCTCAGAGTTACCTGGGGCACGGTGGGTCTTGATCTTCTAGCTCCTCTTGATCCTTTTCAATTTCTGCAAATAAATTCAGACAGAGACAGACACATTAAGCAGGTTCTCCTACACACACAAACAATCCACTGTGCAGTCCTAACATAGGAACGTCAGTTTCCTCAGTGGGAGAACAGGACAATGTGAGAGAAATATTCCAGGAGGCCTGAGGTCCTGTCAAGAGAGAGATGCCTTGGTTTTCTTCCCTAAGCCTAGGAATGAAATCTCCCTGTTCTTGTAGATCGTTATCACAACATCAACCATCCTGAATTTGTGCAAATAGCTATGCAAAATTTTCACACCAATTCAAGGCAAACATCTCATCAACTTTCTAGAAGGAAAACTGCACTATTCAGCCTTCAGTCATCAAATACCCACATTGTTCATGGTGGCAAGGATTTTAGACACTGAAATTAGAATGAAGGAGAGAACATACACACCCTGAAATCAAAATGAATCTTTGGTACTACAAAGTGACATTGGCTGTTCATGACATCTAGGAGTGACAAGGCCCAGTCTTGTTTCTAGACACATAACAAAAGGTGATGTACTGCTCACCTAAAAAAGGCCCACATCAGAGACACAGAGAATCAGGCTAGGTTCTTTGAAACCTGGATAATATCTTTAAGGAAAAGTAGACAAAGATGCCACAGGCCTTGGGCTGGCATAGAATCTCAAGGGACATGGTTGTAGAAAGGAACTTGTAAGGAACTCAATAGCTGGCAAGACAAATCTTATTCAGATTAAGAGGCCTGACCGACACCTGTTGGGCACGTGCTGCGTAGGTTGGTTTGAATTTGTCAGTGTCGTGACAGTGGATCAGGGTGACTCAGGCCTGGTCTGAGATGAGAAAGCGAGCAAAGCTCACTGACCCACCCCATGTCTGTGCTTCCAACTTGATTTTTGATTTCTGATGCAAATCATCCTGTGTCTGTGAGTCATGCCCACCCCAATGACATGTCTCTGTCCAGCTAGGGGTGCAAGGATTACGGAGTCTACCTGGGACACCAATTGGAGATTTATTGTGGTCACAATGGGGTACTCACTGTCTACGAGAGCCAGAGTGACTTGCTTTTCTTCAAAACAGTACGAAGTGCTCCCATAAGGGCGGTAGGAGTGAGGTAGGTCAGGAAGGATGGAAGGAGTCAAGCAATATCCATCCAGTGACTCCTGGGGGACTTCATGCTTGTCCCCCCTCAGTGGTCCCCTGCTGAGCCTGTAAGGTAGGAAGGAGTAAGGATTAATCCAAGGAGTTTCAGAGCCCTGCTGGCTTCACGTGAGGCAGGAGGCAGTGATGGCAGAAATCAAATGGGTTAGCCCATTAAAGAGTTCAATAGTCTCCTCTTCTCGGTGGGTCACAGTGTGGTTGTCATGGGGTAGGTTGCAATACAGACAGAGGGAAAGAGAGATGAGAGAGAGAAGTATCAGGAGCTCAGTGAAGTGGCCAGATCACGATTTTCTGAGGAAGGAGACTGAGTTTCTCTGTATGGTACAGTTGTGACTTACTGAATATCCTGTTCCCTAACAGTGGCTTCATTCCTTTTTTTAAAATGGTATTAAATTTTATGTGTAGTGGCCAAGTAAACATAGCGTTTGAGGCATAATAATATCCCCAAACTCTCATGCCGTGAAGTCCTTCTTCTCTCATTATTATGTGTGGTATAGTAATAATTTTTTTCTACCCAATTTCCTTGCCTAGAAATGCTTAGCATTGTGTTAATGCAAAACTAGCAGAAAGCAGAAATGCATCTCAGGTTGGTTGAAAACGTAAGAAGGTAGCTGCTTTAAGGAAATCTCTGGGACTGATTAGTTTTTCACAAGAGCAACTGGTTTTATGTACTGAACCTGAGAATTTAACACGAAATGGCTAACAATGCAAGGATCACAATGAAAATGTAAAACATGGTTAGAAAGGATCATTTCTGGTTGGCTGAAGGGATGAAGTAGGTATATTCAGGACTTTCTGGTTTTCTGTGGATATTAGTTTCACAGGTATCACCCCTGAATAGACAGCCCCTGAATTTCTTTAATTACCTGGGATCAATTGTTTGTTTTCCTTTCACCTCTTCAAGATTATTTTGCTTTTCTGCAAGGAAATTAAGGGAAGACCAGTCACGTGAACTTCATCCCATTCATACATGCACAACCTTGTATCCAAACCTACCTAGGGGTATAAATATACTCGGTGTGATAACAGGCTATTGTGAGATAAACTTCAGGAGGCCTCAGGGTGAGCCTTGTGAGAAGTCACTAGGTGTGCTTTCCTGAGCCATGGAGCAAATCTCCCTGATATGACAGGTCATCATCACAGTCCCTTCTGTCCTGAGTCACAGCAAAATGTTAACCATATTCTATTTACTAACAGATCCTGGAAATCTACTTAAATGCTTCCTAGCAGGTTACTGCTGTGTTCAGTATGTTTCCTTCTGATAAGCTGTTTGGTGTTTTTGTAGAATGTACATTTAGAGGGACAGATTAAATTAAATGAATCTCTAATGCTACATGGAAACATAGGCCTTTCATGTGGCAGGGAGTTCCAGGGCCCAGCCTCCTTTCAGAAACATACAAAATCTAATAGTGGTGTCATGTTCTGGTACTCAGAGACTTCTTAGCTAAGGCAAGCTTGCTAAAAGGGGAGGGAGTCTAGCCTGAGAGAAGTGAATGAGGGTAATGACAGCTCCAAGGATGTATATAAGGCTGCCAGTGGCCTTGGACAGGCAGGGAAGCTCAGGTTGTTTGAGAAGGAAAATTAGAAGATTTCATGTGAGATGATAGATGAAATCTAAATCAGGAGGACTGGTGTATACATCCTGCACCCAGGCTGCAGAGGTGGGTATGAATTTTTCAGGTCAACCTTGGGTACAGTGATTTGCCAATGGGGCAAAGATGAAAGACAATGTGTGGTTTTGGAGGAGGATGGAGCAAAACTCTGACTGCTAGGATGCCTTCCTTCAAACTCAGTTCTAGAGCCTGGTTCTACCCGTGTATAAGCATAGTGTCTTCCTGAAGGTATGACATCTGTCATTATGGACAGATTGTGGGATGCAAAGAATAGGGAGCCTACCTAGGAAGCCAAGTGGGGCTTCATCCCATTTGGAATTGGAGTAATCCCTGGCAACATCCTGAGCAGAGCAAACTTTCTCTTCATCCAGTGCCAAGAAAGTGACTTCATGATGCAGGTAAGAGTTGGATATATCATTGTGTCTAGAATGAGAAAAACCACATTCCTCTGGTAAGTCCTGCAGGACTCCCTTCTCGTCAGACTCCTGCACCCTCCTGATGAGCCGGGTAGGATAGGAACGACAGCAGATTAGATCAAGACAGACTCAACACCACAGCGTCTCAGGTGATTTGATAGGACACACAGGGAGTGGTCGCAGAAAGCGAAGGAGGAGCCTCTCCAAGAGAGAAAACCCATCCTTCTAAATGTGGGGTGGATGTGACTGCCCTGGGAACAGAGCAAACTCGAGCAGCAGGTGCTCAGTGCACTTGCCACAAAGGAGTTGCTGCAGGAGACCCAGACTCTCCCTGTAAACTAGCAACATGACCTGCAGCAGAGAGAACTAACACGGGGCTTCACTTCCTTCACACAAACAGTGTTGACATTTACATGCAGCATCCAAGTGAACAGAGCTCTTGAGGCATTCCAGACACAGAGATGCTGTGTTTTTAAGTTCCCCCTTTTTCAAATTTTGACATCATATCAAATTTTTATTTTTAATTTTCTCTCTTGCAATTATGTAGTTGCCAATATGCTGACACAAAACAGAGAGAAAGCAGATATGCATCTCACTCTGGATTAACCACATGGGAAACAACAGGTGAGATCAGGATATCCCTGAGTTTAGTCAGTTCACCTGGCTCAACTGATTGTCGGTTCCCATGCTTGAGCGGTGTTAAGAAATGAAAGCTATTCAAGTGCCATAATAAAGAAGACAACATTGTTAAGGGGGTAATTTGCAGTTGCATGAATGGGTGAGACAATTCTATTCGTCACTCCCTATTTTCCCTGGATCCGTGGTGTCCAGGTGTCACTACTGAACTAACAGCCCACAAATCCACAGTTACCTGGGGAGCACTGGTGCTTTCCCCTCTTCTTCCTCACGATCATTTTGATTTTCTGTAAACAGATTCAGAAGAGCAGGTCACAGTAAGGAAATCACACTTCACACAAGCCGAAATCAGTGCCCAGTCACGGCGCAAGACATAAATATCCTCAGTGTAAGAATGTGACATTTTGACAGGAAGGTTGTAAGGCACCGTAAATTAAGTCTTGTCAGACGTAGATGAGCCTCCTTTCCAGGCCCATGGAACAAAGTCTCCCTCGTCTGGCAGATCATAATCACCTGTCCTCGGACCTAAGTCTGCGCCAACAGTTAAAGAAAACTTTTCTCACAAGAATTCAAGAATTGCCCTAACTACTCTCCAGAAGTGTTGTTGCAATACCGATTTATCTCATCAAATATCATACTCAATGAATGGTTAGAGAAATTTATATAGAAGACTGAACTGATGGATAAATTCTAACAACCCTTGCGTAAAAAAGGATCTGTGGTGCTACACAGATACATTGGCCACTCATGGGGTGAAGAAGGCAGAGCCCAGCCTTGTTTAGGGAAACTTATAAGCAAGATAAAGGTATAAGTGTTTATGTCCTGCTTTCAAGGTGACTGCTTAGCTGGGACAAACTGACCTAAAGGAGACCAAGGCTGGGGCTGAGAACAGTGAATCCAGAGAAACAACATCTCCAAATACACAGGCAAGACTGTCAGTGGCCTGTGACAGGCATAGAAACTCCATGGACATTGTTCAGGGACACTAATCATTATTGCATGTGACAAGAGACATAGGAACCGAGCCAGGAGGCCTGACAGCAACCTCCTGTACACAGATGGCTATGACTTTGTCACACCTACCTGTGGTCCAACATGCTGACATTGGGGCCAGGAAGACAAAGTCATGCCATGGGACAAGGAGGAGAGGAAAGTTCTCTGACCCTTGGATAAATGTGTGCAATATTCCCTCATAGTTTCTTTTCTTGCTTTCTGTGTGCAATATCCCATCAGAGTTTCTTTTCTTTTCTTTCCCTTCCCTTCCTTTCTCTTTCTCTTTCTCTCTTTCTCTCTCTCTCTCTCTCTCTCTGTCTTTTTCTTTTTTTTTGAGACAGGGACTCTGACTGTCACTCAGGCTGGAGTGCAGTGGTGCAATTATGACTCACTGCAGCCTCTACCTCCTTGGTTCAGATGACTCCCCCCATCAGCCGCCCGGGTAGTTGTGATGACAAGCACGCACCACCATGCCTGGCTAATTTTTCATATTCTGTGTAAAGATTGGTTTCACCACATTTCCCAAGCTGGTCTTGAACTCCTGAACTTAAGTGACCCAACCACCTAAGCCTCACAAAGTGCTGGAATTACAGGTATGAGCCACTGCACCCAACTCTGTCTTAGTATGTAAATCAAACCAATATGTATGTATGTACCCTGTCCTCAGAATTGATCTTCCTCAGCCTATACAGAGGCAGGAGGGACAAAGAATAGAGAGGCTACCTGGGAGAATGTTTAGAGCTTCCTCCCCTTCATCATGAGAGAGTTCATTCTCTACAACCAGAGCAGAGTCGACTTTGTGTTCCTCAGATGTGATTTTGGTGCTCCTGTGAGGCTGGTTGGAGTCAGATGGGTCGTGACTATTTGAACAAGTGACAGCACATTCCTCCAGTGAGTCCTGAGGGACTTCCTTTTCTTCAGCCATCTGCACCTCCCTGATGTGCCCAGTGGGATAGAAATGACAGAAGATTAAACCAAAAGGCATTGGACCCCAGGAAGTCCTACTGGTTTTGACAGGAGGCATAAGAGAGTGGTCTCAGAAAGCAAAGGGGAGTTTCCCTTTAAGACGGAACAGACAATCCTCTCCTCTCTGCAACAGAGCAGAGAAAACCAGAGAGGAAATAGTGGCTGGTGATCATTGCACTGGGTAGATAGGAGTTGAGGACGGAGACTCAGCTGTCTCTGTATGGTATAGTCTTGAGAGCACACACAGAGACGAAAAACAGCTGCCACACGGTGTGTCTAAGCTGGGTTGTAGTTAACCTACTGTGGCCACAGGAATACAGGCCTTTGAGCCATTATAGACTCCAGAGATGGTGTGCCTTCTAAATTTATTTTTATTTTAATATTGTGACATGAAATGTAAATTTTTTGTCTAGGTACTTTTCTTTGTGTTCAACTTTGCTAGGTACTTCCTAATTCTTCTGCTTGTTGGCTCTCTGCCATTTATCTTTCCTTAAAAGAACATAAAGACAACTATGTAGAAAGCAGCTTTGCATCTCCTCCTGGCTTTCACTGCAGGGGAGAACAGGTCTCCTCTGTGTGTGCAGGAAGTCCCTTGGGCTGTGAGTTCATCTAGGGTCATGCTTAGAGGTACCATGAAGACAATGGACAAGCATGTTAACAGGGCTGTTTCCTTGCTGGGTGAGTGCGTGGAATCGGTGGACTCTGCAGCTTTCTTATCCTGCATCTGGAATCTGTGACTACCTTCACCCGCCTTGTGTTCTTTCTGAGACCCTTTACATGTTTTACCACCCATTACCCTCTGGTGATTATTCAGTGTTACCTGGGGGCAGGTGATTCCTGTACTTTCTCAATCTCCTCATCTTTCTCATCTTCATCCTCATCTTCATCATTCTCTGCAAATACAGAAGTGTCCATTCAGATATTTCCCACTTCACCTATGCAAGCACAGTGAGCCCTATGTGCACGGAGACATGAACATCTATATGTATGAGTCTGCACTGTACTGAAAGCTCTCATGTTTTATCTGTAAGAAAATGCCCTGGAATGGTTTCCTGATGCATGAGGCAATGCGTTTCTGATCTTGGGGGTCACCATCAAGATGTGGCCAAATATTGATTGAAAAGATCTTTTCCTCTTCATATCACTGGAGGCTTGTCCAGCCTGTCTCTGAACTTCAGCAGCTGTCTCCCCAGTCCTGCCACAGATCTGATTCCCAGGCACAGGCTGTGTGTCCTGTCACAGCTCACATTTAGAACCTGTATCTTTCTCTTAGAACAGGACAAACAGCCTTGTCCCACAATACTCCATACATCAGGGACTTCATGGGCCCTCCAAGTGGCTTCGATTGTGTTATCCAGGGACACTGTCACCATGGGGAGTGCTCCAGCCTCAACCACTTCCTACCACCAAATGCCAGCACTTCAAGAGCCTTCTCTAACAGCACACAGCAAGGGGCTTTATCTCATGTGAAATAGAATCATAAGTGTTCCCACATTTGAATGCCAGAGACAATTTGTTTGCCTTTACAGATTTAGAGACAGAAACCCAGGAAGGATAAATTAATCAGTTGGGCACAGTTGCTAAAGACATTGCTGAAGATAGAGCCTGGGAACCTTGACTCTTAGTCTGGGTCTCTTTTTACTCTAACAAGCTGCCTCCTGTCACAGCCTCCTTCCAGTCCTTTAAAACTGGACGAATGCTGCCTCTTGCTCCAAAGACCACGTTCCATCAAGAAAGGAGGAGACCTTTGCAATACTGTGACCTCCAGCCCCATGGGTTTCCCATCTCTGTTTTTACCTAGGAAGTTCTGGTCATGTCACGCCCACAGATGTTTACTGGAAAGATACACTACCCATAAAATTGTCATTGTGGAGGTTTGGAGGTCTGAGGACTTTCATAAGCCTGGAGCTGTGTGTCATCAGGGCCCATGGCCACCTCACCTGGGCTCAGCTTCTGGAGAAGGCGCTCTGCCAGCCGGCGCCCCTCAGCCAGCTGCTCTCGGAGATCCTGACCGTGGGACTTGTCAAGGTCATCAGGAGCGAGGAGGGCCTTGAAATGCTGATTCAGTGAGCGGGAGGCATCTCTCCCTTCCTGTAACTTCTCCCTTAACTGGGTCAGCTCTCGTTCCTGAGAGTGAACCAGGGCTTTATATTGCCTAAGGTGAGATAGTAGAGAACATTTAATAATGGAAAGGGATGAGTGATCAGTTCTAATACTGCAACAGAGGTTTCTGTGAGAATGTCCTCAAGGAGCCTTCCAAGCAGAAGGTCAGCACATATTTGGGGAAATGCCTTTGGCCAAGAGAAAAAAATATAAAAATATATATCTCTAAGTTATACATATGTATATATTTTTAAAGGGTTCCTCTATATAAAAGAGTGCTCCTGTAAGATCCTCGATAATGTTCCATAGATCTTTCTTTTCTGTAAACAAAAGCCGGTGTCTTCCTAGATCAGTTCCAAATAGATATCCTTTCAGTTCCTCACTTTGGCCATGGACATTTCTATATGGAAATTCACACAGTGCATCTTGCAGTGACTTGAACTAAAGCCACGCATAGAAATGTGACCAGGTGCAAATAGGGTGGATTTGAAAAATGTAGGAAGGAAAAAAGGACAGGTTCAAGAAGGTAACATTGCTTGAACGAATGACATGCGGCAGTCAGTCAGGAGGTGATTCTAAGAGTAAATGGGGTGGTGATCACACAGCATTTTGAATGTGCTAAATGCTGCTGGGTGGTTCACTTTCTTTTAATTAACTTTGGTTATGCAAATTTCACCTCAAGAATTCCTTGTTTTAAAAAGAGAAAACAAGGTTCAAGAAACAACTGCAACCCATAACTTACTAAGATGACTGTTCTCTGTTTTATAAATGTTTGTATGGCATGTGCCTGCCATGTAAATGCCTGCCCTTGTCCTGGCCCAGCTTAGCTCTTATTTCTCCCAGCTGAGTTGCTGCACTTCAGAGATTCACACCCCTGCCCATCTGCCTGCCCCCAATGAGGCCTACTCACCCGAGCTCCTCAGCTTGCCTGAGCTTCTCTGCCAGCTTCTCCACGAACTGCAGTTCATCCCTCAGCACAGAGTCTATGATGTCTTTGTACTCTTCACAGTCTGAGAAAAGACAGACACACCTGCCTCAGTGCAAGGCTGGACATGCTGCTGGGATCACTACTGACAGGGCAGGCAGCAGCATCCATCCCAAGGATGAAAGCAGCCCCAGTATCAGGCTCTAGGCAGGCATTTCTGCATCTTTAGTTATCAACTTCCCAGCTTTCTGGCATCTGATACTCATCAACTTAGAGATGGGGAGAAAAAAACTCTAGCGCACATCAAGTAACTGGACACGATGATCCACCTGGAACAAGGCAGAGTCAGAATTCACAGCCCCTGAGGTCTGACTCTGAATCTTGGGACACTTTCCCAAGCCTTGCAGCCTCTCCTGTAAAACACTGCGCTGGGGCATGAGGTAATAATATCCTGCACAGTCAGAAAGACCCTTAGCACTATGGGACTCACGGTTTCCCTGGTACTGGAAATTTTAAGCACAAGTATGTCAAATATGTAAAATATCGTATCTGAATATAACTGCATAAAATATGAGGCATAACACACTGAGGCTTTAGTAGAAATATGCCCAAATACTAATAAACTTTGAATTAAGTTAGACCCAGTAGAATGGAGAACTAATAGAGAGTGTTTTCTCTGTGCCAAGAACTGTTCTAGGAGATTGAGAAGAAATGGATCATGTAAGTCATTGTAGCACTTTTCTGAGGTACTTATTATTATACAACCCAATGAACAGATGAGGAAACCTAGGCACTGAGAAGATAGGCAACTTGGATGGAGCCCAGGAGCCCAGGGTCCCTGCTCTGCACACTATACTGCTACCTCCCAATGTCTTATGTGCCAGCTTTCTTCCTCTTTAGGAATAAGAGCCTGTGCCCCAGGAAGCAGGACTTCCCTCTCACCATGGTACTCCTTGCTCTTGACGCTGTCACTTATGGCTGCCGCAGTTACTATTAGGAGTAGTCTCCTCTTTAAACTCCTTAGTGCGGGTGCTGTGTACTGTCACTATGTTTCCCCCAGGGTGCCCAGAATACAGCTTTGCCTACTGGGCCTCAAAGAAGTTTGAAGTGAATGGAAGTTCATTAGTCCCAGACATTTAGACCAACAGACTAGATGTTACCTGTCTGCAGCATCTTAC